CGCAGGTCGGCCGCGGCCCCGCGTCACGTGGTACCTGGAGAACTCCGTGATCGACGACGACTACGAGACGCGCGACGACGTCACCGTCAACCACCTCCTGTTCCGCAGCGTGGGGCGGCAGCACCTGAACGCGCGCCTGGTGTGCCAGGCGTCCAACACGCCGCTGGACACGCCCACCACCAAGGTGGTCATCCTGGACGTCAACTGTGAGTGCTGCTGCGCTGCTGCGCCGCTGCGCTCCTGGCGCCGCGCCTGGCCCTTCTTTCTCGCCCTGCTTCTTCTGCCGTTCCTCTACCCTGCATTTGCCTCGTTTCTCTTACGCCTTTACTGCTTCATCTTGTTTTGCTTCCTTTCCTCTTTTCCCTCCTACTATTTCTTCTCCTCTTTCTCTGCCCCATCTTAACCCACTGCTTCTGGTTTTGGTTTTAAAGCAAAGCAAATTATATTATAAACAGATATGGGAAAATACATGTTTGCAAAATTAAGTCCTACGATAGACAGTTACATTGTTGCTAAATTACAAACGACAATAATTTATTTACTTACGTCAAAAACAGTTAAAAACTGTGTGGCGTGCTATGGGGAGAAGTTAATTTGAAGTTGCATTTATGTCCAGAAGCAAAACAAGAGGCCATCTCAGCATTTGCTTTGATCAGGGAAACTGGACGAAAACCTAATCGCGATGGGGGTCTTTGACTCATTGATCCTTTCGTGTCACCTAATCTCATCTCTCCACCTCCTTTTATTTCTCATTTTTTCTCTTCCATTTCTTTTTCCTTTACACACTCATTCCACTTCATATTCACATAGTTTACTCCTCCATCTCAAACTTTTGCATCGTTTTCTATTCTCCTTTGTATTTCTCTTCCTCTTTTCCTCTTCAAATTTCTCTACTTCTTTCTCCGCTTCCCACATCTTTCTTTTTTTCTGCCCCTCATCGTAGTCGTTATCATAACAAAACCCAGCTTTAAACTTTCTCTACTTTCGTCATTTCGTAATTTATTTTTGTTTTCTTGTTTATTTTCTCCTCGTCGCTTTAATATTTGATGTTCACTAGCCATGTATTTGCATTTTTCTTTTTTTTTACTTCTTATCTTTCTCTTTCTCATCGTTCTTCTTACGAGAACAAAGTGAGTCGAATAAAATTGTTTTCTTTTTATGTTTCATTCTCCATCTTTTTGTATTCCTCTTTCCAAAAATTCACTCGGTACATTCTATACTCTTGTTTTTTTCCTTCTTCTATGTGCTTCTACTTCTATCTTCTCAATCCATCCAGTGTATCTAGTTTTCTTTTTAGGCTTCCTGCTGCTCATATTTGACCTTTCTAATTTTTTCATAACTTTTCCATTCATTTCCAAGTTTCCTGAACTTGCAAGTCTTCCCCTTGTTTCCTCGGCCGCTCCTCGTGTTGACTTGCATATTCTATTATTGCTTTCTTTTTTCTTTAAATTTATTCTTAATATTCTCTTCATACACAACTTTTGTTTCATCCGCTGTTTACGGTTTTGCTGTATTAGTCTTTTATTTTCTTAGCGCCACAAGCAGTGTATGTACGTGTATTTGTTTATTCCTTAGTTCTAATATTCTTCTTCTTTGTCTCTGCTTGTTTTCTTGTTGTTGTAAATCATTCTTCTAACTCTGCATTCACATCCCAAGCTCTCTCTTTCTCCAGCCATCCTTCTTCATTAATTTTTCTCCATTGTAATCCATTCTCTTTCTCCTGCATTTATTCATTTTTCACGCTTCCCTCCCGCGCCGGTGCCACCTGCAAGTGTCTCCTGCCTCGCCCCCTTTTTGTGCAAGTGCTCCCCTCTCGCCTCTCCCCATCTCTCATTCGTCTTCATCACTTCCACCACACTTGCTAGCTTTCTAGAAGACTCCAACTTGCCCCTTTCCCTCTTTTATTCTGTTTGTTACGTTTTTGCTCTTCCAGTTTTTCGCTTTCCCTTTATTTCGTAATACATGTGAATATAGTTTATTGCTCATAGTTTCCGAAGTTTGGGAAATGCACTAAGAATGTAATGTGAAAAGTGATCTAACTTTACGTAAGAGAAAAACCATTAGCTATTAGTTGACGTAAGTGATTATCGTCAGTGCTGATTTGCAAGCACCTAAAATATTCAGCTAACTAATAGGTACTATACTTATGATTTCTTGAATTCAAAATTAATTCATTGAGCGTAATATATATTGACAAAAGAAGTCTTCTTAAAAAATTCTTGCCTCAAAATCCATGTATGAATTGGATTATCGTTTAATATAAATATATAAGTACTATCAATACAATCTCTCGCATTCAAAGTTAAATTTGTTAAGAATCCTCAAAAAAGAATAACTGTGCTTGATGTTGCATCGGATAGTTGAGATCTGAGTGCACTGTACGTTCCTAAAAGTGTTACACGTTTGCTCCTGTTCATGTTATTTTGATCAACGCCTGCAGATCTATTATATCTCAATGCGTGTGTTTGATCGTTTTATCTTTCCAAATCACGTGGCTTTTGTTTTGGTGCGCCAAACCACAGTATTCATATCATGAAAAATTAACTTCCGATCCATCAATGTAATATTTGTTTTGTGGCCAGTTGATCGCTGCGTAAATTTTGTCTTTGTGTTAATAATATATAGTTCCCCCAGTCTTCCGGTCGTGATGATTGTTGATATTTATTCACTTTCTAGCATTCTATGAAAAAATAAGCAAGAGAAATTGAAAACAGAGGTGCTTCATAAAAGATTTGCGAAGATACTTTCTGTACACTTTTAATAGAAAAATTTCACTGAGGCTTATCTAAAGACCCTTGTTTGTTAGATTAATTAGATCATTCTTAATGGTATTTAATGATTTTCGTTTTCCTGTTCATCAGCATCTAAATCGTAAAATGCGTAAATTCGAAATTCTTTACGGAGATATTTCTGAAGGTATTATGAAAAAGTAATACGCAGATAGTATTTAACTTTTCCAAGTAAACAAAATAAAATGTTTTTGTGTACATTTATCTACTCCTTTATTTTTATCGTATGTCGTCCAGTATAATTTCCAGGATAATTCTCGGTTTCTGAAAATAGTATAAATAAAAAGTGTACTATTGAAGCGTAAAGAATGAACATTCTAGAACTTAGAACAGTTTTCTATTATAATACACTTGTGTCAAACAATTTCGTCCAAAAATGTCATTTTATTTTAATTTTATTTTACAAAATAAAAAGGGTAGTTTCCTTTTCTTTCCCGTTACCTTCTCTGAAATACTGAAAATGTTTTGCTGAGTCTGTCCCTAATGGAAAAGGTCATTTAAATTTTTGTCTCTCTCGAGTCTATGAATGTTTGAAACTTGATGTTTTTTATACTACATGGCCTCACTGCTTCCCGTTTCTTCTCTCATTACTCTTCCTTAATTGTTTTTCTTCGTCTTTTTGTCTTCGTTCTTGTTTACTGCCGCGACTGTAACTCTACCCCAATTGGTTTGCAAATGACCCCCCTCGGTCCAATTTATGTCCATTATCCGTCACCTTTCTTGCGCTGACTCACTTCTTCCGCAGTATTGATCCATCGGTATTTTTGGCTCTTGATTGTGTTGCCTCGTATACTTTCCGCAAGTTCTGCTTCCCCGCATATCCCGATTGCCTCTCTATAATCACGATTATTATCTCAACTCTATTTCCACATCGGTGATGCTGATCAATCTGCTTTTATTAAAGTGAACGTTACTGAGTTAATCCACTATTTTATATTTTTTTCTTTTGGTATTCGCTGCTTTGAGATCTTTCAGATACTGGAAATGATATGTGAATGTTTAAAGACCATAGCAATACGCCATATACGCAGTGCGCACTATTAATTAGGATAAAAAACCAGTACGAATAATAGATGAGAGAATTTTGAGTGATATTTTCCATTTTTCATGACTCCTTTGTGACGCGGAACCTACATATGAACTTCGTTTTAACTGCGTAGCATGTCTCTTCATCAAAACGCAGAAGCGCCGTTCTTCGTAGCCTTGTGCCGGCTGCATTATGAGAGTTCTTCTTTAAGGGCCACGCGAAGTAGAAAGCCCAAAGCTTGTTGGCGCAACTATCAACGTTACGATGCTTTTGAGTACATCCTCGTGTTATACGTAAAAGGTAGTGCATGTTTATATACGTTTTTTTGTATTCACGTCATATGTCCTCCATTCATGTTGTGGAGCTTCCTCGAATATCATAAAGATGCGAGTATGAAATGTGCCTTGGGTAATCAAAATTGTATTCTATCTTTTTACTAGTTCAAGAGTGTATGTTCAGATTCTGAAATACGTTGTTACTTTGAGGACTATAGAGCGACAGCCGTCTTTTATTTCTGTTTTGTATGTTTCCCCACAAAATTAGAATTTGTTTCACATGAAGCATTTCAGTATATTTTGCGGTTGGCATATATTTTGTTAGTGAGCCAGTATACGATTTTAATGCAACTGTCAAGTTAAAAAAAGGACGATTCCAAATGTAATTACAAATTTAACTCGCGATGTAAAATGACACTGCAATAGGCACCTCTCTATTTGTTCTCTCCCGATTTCCATTTCTTGTCACAATAATTAAGGAACTGAAGAAGAGACATCGGAAGGATTAGAGACAACGTCATAATGTCGAATGAAAGAGTACCCAGAAAAAAGCGATAAAAGTAAAAATCACATAAAAAGTAAGAAGAACGTAGCAGTAAAATGCTACGAAGACGAAGCACTTTACCAACGAAGAAGTAAGTAGTAAGTGCAGGAAATAACAGGATAGGTGAAGAAAAGTATCGGTTATGGGGACGGTTTTCAAGAGAACTCACCTGGAACTCAGGTCTATTAAGATTCCAGTTTATCATTTAGTTTTGAGTTTTTTGACGGCTTGTTCAACGTTGTTCCTTCAGTTACAATTATTTTTAACTAGTCATAGGACTTCTGTCAAGAATCTGGATTACGGAAAACAGCGAATCTTCAGACTAGTGTTTATGAATATAAATGTTAATAAAATACCCCCTCTCCATAACTGCTTGAGATCATGTTAATCACCAAATACGTGATCAAAAGAATCTTCTTTAAAGTCTAAAGATAGAAAATCATTTGCACCCCACAACGAAAAATTGTCATACTATGATATGTATTTTATTTATTTTACATCAAAATGCAGTAAAATGAATTTGACGCGAAAGTGTTAGCGAAAATAATTGCAACACGTGTTTTGGAATAAC